GGCTGCCCTTCTCTGCGGAGCCGGCTCTTTTTCTCGGTTTCTCGTTTTCTGGCCCCAAAGAGGAGCGTGACCCCTTTTATGAAATTACATCCGAGCGAGTTACGCGGCGCTGTGAGTGCCGGGCTGTCGTTATTTCTGTCTCCTCACGTCTCACCCCGCCCACATCTTACCTCTGCGTGAAATACCCCAAAACTGTGGGCTTCTGTGAGGCTGGGGGAAGAGGTTCGTGACGAAGTCGGCGTGTGGGCACCCTCCTGGGCTCAGGGAGGGATCTTGCCTCATCAAATTTCAACACCTGTGCGCGATCAGTGACCGGGGTTTACTGCCCCAGGTAGAGAGACGGATCCCTGTGTGTCTGCCTGAGGAACCCCCGCGCCTCTTGGCCCCAGGGGCGCAGGTACCGGAGTGGTGGCGGCACCACTCGCCTGCCTACCGAGTAGGACAATCGAAAACTGGGGAGAGCGGGAGGAAGCCGAGTCCAAGCACCCTTCAAAGCAAACCTGCTGACCCTGTCATCAGTCTGAGGCGAGATGTTTACGCTTGACTGGGAAATAATAAATGCATCTCTTCTGTGGTTACCTTTGCATGCAACGTTTCAGTTAGCTTTAGCTTGCTTCCTATAAAGCTTCTCCTTTCTTGGGGTAAGGCTGAGAGAGGTAAGGTCAGGGCTTAGGTTAGCTTTAACGTGCTTTTCCTCTTTAATCTGCACACAGTGTATATTGCATAAGTCACTTAGGTATATGATTATAAACGGTGGATTGATGAAAATAACTGATTTTAATTGTGATTTAAGTAATAGAGTTAATCCTGTTTTGAATTTATACTGAATGGTTTTTGATAAAAGATGCTAGCTTACAACTAAATATAGTCTTTTGTGAAATAAGCACTTACTATCTAACAGTAGGAAAAGTATACCTTACTTTCATCTGCTTAGGGCTCATGGGAACCCAAATATACATTTATCTAGTAAGTTAGGCATGCTACACGTTAAAGCAGCTTATTAAAAGCAAAATATCAAGGTGTTCAGGCTAGTGCCTAGAATGCAGTTAAAAAGGAAATGCCTGGAAATTTGAAAATAGGTTTCCTTTTAAACCGGAGGGTTCCACTGAATAAAAGCCTGTCTGGTTCATGACTCAACACCGTTTCTGTTAACGATGCCCCTAACAGGTTTAGAATTAGAAGTTTTTGTAAATTCACATTTTGTCTCTCTTATAAAGGAGGAAAACAATGAGACCTTATATTGAATTTGGAGAGGGCTTGGGTTTTGCTTTTAAATTTCTGAGGGAACAGTTCACTGACTGCAACCAGTGGACGTTGTCTGTACGTGCATGAGTGTAGTGCTGTGAAATACTCTTTCCTGCTGCTTAGCCACTGGTCTCTGTCACATACGCTTAATTTCTTCAAAGCTATAGCAATAAACTTGTACTACTTAAACTTTTTAATTTAGCTTTGCTGTAATGTCTTAGTATAACACCCTTGAGTTATTATGAACCTAATACCAGCTTTTAAAAGAGATCATATTTAATCTGCAATTACTGTTTTAAAATGTATCACATGACAATTTTAAGTCATTATAAATTATTTCAGAAGGAAGCTACTTTAAATAGTTGGTGTGCTCTTAAGCACAAAAAATGTATGTTGTTCACCTAAAAGTATGTGTTATTAGCAGTTTTAAAAATTTTTAGCATTTCAATAATTGAGACTTGTGGACTTCAAAGTATTCCCTTGTCTTCCTCTTCTCACATACCAGCTGGGATTTTTTGCTTTTGTCTAAGAGAATAGTATGTGTGCAATCACTGCCCAAGGTATTGTGTTTCATGGACAAGTGTTTCTTTAGGAAACTTTATATCTATATATAGATATATATCACTTGGGAATGTTGGAAGAAAATTCAAAGCCAGACATTCTAAAATCTGAGTCATTGTAAATTTATCAAACTAAGAAGGTATTCCCTTGTTAGGTCTCTATCTTTTTTGTGAGTTTGTGTGAAAACAGAGGATTGTAAATAAGCACTAAAGGAATGCTCTGTGGTATAATAATTTGATATATTTAATTCATTTGTATTGCGCTCCTCCCTTACGTTGATATACTTTAATATGCAGTATTTATTATCTCTGCAGTTGTGGTTATAAGTCCCACTGTTTTCACAGTTGCAATTCACTGTGGGAAGACAGAGCCAGACTCTTCTCAGAGCTGGGTAGTGGAAGGGTGACAGGCAGCAGACACAAGTTGAAACATGGCAAATTCTGATTAGACAGAAGGAAGAGAAAATTACCTTGAGGGTGCTAAAATACTGGACCAGGTGTTTAGAGAGTTTGTGGTACCCCCATCCTTGGAGGTGTTCAAGATTTGACTGAACTCAGCCCTGAATTACTGCACTTGTCAGTGGACATAAAACTCTGAGTGTGTATGTATGTATAAAAACAGGGTTTTTTACTAGAATTGATGTGCATACTTCATCTCTTACAGGTTTGTAGCTGGATGTTTTGAATAAAGGATTTTCTTTGTGCTTCATGTTACCTGTGGGATAGGCAGACTGAGAGTCTGCAGAATTTCAAGTTTGAATAAATATAAATGTTAGCCACTGAATAGAAAAAAAGTGTACTTTTCCAGACTGAGGAAGCTTCCTTCACTGAAACTGGGGGAAAGTAGAGGGAGAAACTTGGAGGTGGGCTGTTCTTTTGAGTATGTCGTGTATCCCAGACTACTCTGAACTGGAACTGTTCCAATTCCTCTTGCTAGACCTTCCCCATGAATGTCTTGGAGATCTGGTATTTCGGTGGTGATGTATTTTAGTCCCGTTGAGGAAGGAAGGGAGAAGGAAAAGAAGTTGGAATACTTCGGAGTCTGCTGAAATAATAATGAACAGCTTTTTAAATTTTTAGTGTTTTAATATCACATACACTGGGTAAACACAACATATTATTTGTTTTTCTTAGGAACCCTTCTCATATTTAAAATAGTTTACAGTAAATGGAATATATATTTTTTTCTATTTTTTTTCCCTATAGACTACCTCAAATATAGAAATGCTTCTATGTGGAGGAGATGGGTAAACTTTTTGTGAAATCAAATTTCATTTTGGTGGGTAGTTATTTTCTGAAAGGAAGTTGTAATGAGAGGGAGCTGAAATCTAAACTGTTAGAGGTCATCAGTTTTATAGCCCTTCAGTTGGGGTATGCAAAGTGAGCTCATACTTGCCTGATATTTTTTATGGTGAGAGGTAAATAGTTGCAACACAAGGTTAGTAGAGGGCACTGCTTGTAGTGCAGATGAACTGGGATGCTACCAAGCTTCAAACTTAAGTAATACCTTGAGCTTCAATTTGACAGGATGTTAGCTAGAAAAACGGGTAAGACCTGGCAGAGAAGTGAGAGCACGTGTATTTGTTTGTGTGTCTGTGTCTTGGACTGTGTTTTAGAACAAGCAATTTACTTGCTTGGTGTGTAAGTTTTCAAAAATCTACTTCTTTTGCAAAAGGAAACTAATGCATGCACTAAGACTGCTGCTCCTGGACAGAGTTCTGCTAGTTCAGTGTCTCAGACTCCTGCAATGTGCCTGACTTCTCTCCTGAGAAACTTCAGAAGATTAAACACTGCTAAATTAGTTTAATAAAAAAAAAAATAGGGAGGTGATGATTTATATCTGAGTGCAGGAAAAACAGAACTGCAGAAACAGTCTACATAACTGCTTTTGGAAATTACTTCACTTGCCAGACCATGACTTGTGTCATTTTTTTTAATTGCATGTAAAATGTGTTTTACTAACATAAGCATATGTTTGACCATGAACAGTGAGCTGTGTCTAAATTGTTTGCTGCCTTCTGGGGTGGGAAGTGAGGTCAGGCTGCCGGTATTGGTGGATTTGTAGCCCAGGGCTTCATTCCGCAGGGGTGGAATGAAAAACGTTGTGGTGGTAAAAATGGAGTATGTCTGATACCTCAGATTTTATTTTCTTTTGAACTTAGATTCTTGGTTTACTGTGTTTAGAATGAGAAAGGTTTAGGTGTTGCTATTTGAGCAGAGGAAAATAACATTGTAGAAAGGTAATATTTCTTGAAATGAATCTGAACTCAAAGGCTTAAGCAGAGTTGTTTCCAGTGCAGTGCTCACATTTAGCTTGATAAATTGAATCCTATCAATTCTAGAAAGAGTTGGTGTAAGTTAAAATATGCAAGTTCTTAAAATATTTTGGATGGCCTTGTAGCATATCACTCAGGTTAGTAACCTGTTACTTTGACCTTCTTCCCCACCCTCTTTCTTCTACCAAGTTGAGCTTATCAGGTAATTTCCCCAAAGTATGCCCTGGAGAAACATGACAATAAATATTCAAACAAAACATTGCATGTAGATGAGCTGCAGTTCTTGCTATGACTAGGTGTGTGCTTGCTAAAGTTATTTTAGTCTTCTTTAGTACAATTGTGTCTTCTTAGTGGTTTGATCTAGTTCACAAATGCTAGAGACAATTTACTATATGTCTGTTACATACTGATGAAAATACATCTATTTAGGTGGAGACCTGTGTGAGAGCTGTTAAAGATTTCTTCCACAATTTGTTACCCACTGCTTTTAAAACTTTCCTCCTGACTTTCCTTACCATAAGTTCACATTTAATGTTCTCTTTATTGTGTTCATATATAAATAATGATAAATGGTGCCCTGAAACCTTAAGTTTGGTTGAAGTGCAGCAAGTGTTACTGGCTGTGATGAATCCAGGTGCTCTGCTTCTTCAGCAGACCTACTGTGGACTTTAAATCTGCATACTGTAGGCTTTTATGGATGTTGCCTGTATCTTCTGTTCTTAAATTAAATGCGTTTTATTTTCAGCTCAGGCTTGTGCTGATGTTCTGGCGTTAGCCAAAGAAGCTAGAAAGCGAAATCTTGGTCCTCTTCATCCTTCCTTTAATGTGATAAAGATAATAAGAGATGGACTGATGAGAAATCTTCCAGAAAACACTCACCAGTTATCATCAGGCAGACTGTGTATTTCACTGACCAGAGTATCAGATGGTAAAAATGCATTGATATCTAATTTTAACTCTAAAGAAGAAGTTGTCCAGGTATGTTTACTTTTTGGCAACTTTTAAAAGTTTCCGTAATGTTAAGTCATTTAATGTCAATAATAGATTTCCATTATAAATATTTTAGCATATTGTGACTTTGTCAGTGTTTTAAAGATTAATTCAAGCTTCACTGTGCTAAATTCACTTACCAGTTTTCCCAGTCAATGTGTCTGCAAACTGGTTTAGTGGGTAGGTGCGAGGTATCAATCCAAAAAAGGATACATGCCTTTAAAGCATACAGTGTATCTAATGAAACTATATCCTTCATGAATAAGAATTTTAAGGTCATTCTTATAAAAGCAATGATCAAGAAACAGCCAGAAACAGCTTTTTGAATTCTTAATATCAGTACAAAGCTAGTTTAATATGATCCCAGAATGTTGATATTTGTGTTCCCGATCAGTTACATTGGTTCCTCAGAAAATGTATAGCTTGAGTGAATGATCATAACCTTTTCCTGGCTAATTAACATTTCTAGAAATGGCCCTTTACTGAGTCTTATGGGGTTTTTCAGATGGAATGTGGTTACATTCTAGAAAGGTATAGAATACCCTCATTCTGTTTAAAATAATGCTTGATAGTACCCTTCCCCCCCTTCTTTTTATTCAAGTGTACTTGCTGCAAATTTTTGTACTTGTTTGCTCGGTTGTTTTTGCTAACATCTAAAGACAAAGATAAATGATAGCTATAATAATAGAACACTTACCATTTAATTTATATGGTCTCATTTTCCTGCAGGCTTTAATCTGTAGTTCATTCGTACCTATTTATTGTGGGCTAATTCCTCCGTCATTTAGAGGTGTGGTAAGTCTCTATTGCTAAGATCTAAAAGTAGTTCTAGCTATTCCAAAAATATTAAGAGACAGTGTATATGGGTTTTTTTTCAGTTATCCTACTGTAAAATAAACATCTTCATCATAGCTTTTAGTACTGTAGCTGTATGTTACAACTTGTCAAAAAAGCAAGGGAACACTACATGTGTGGAATATCTGTTGTGTATATTTCTTCTCAGCCCTGTAAAACACACACATGCTTGCCCTCTTAAATTTCTTATTTGCAGATGCAGTAATTAAAAGAGGGTATTCTAAGCTAGCAAGTGTTTAACTTACGGATAAATATTTATTGAAGAAAGTGATGATTATTCACCTGCACAAATACATAGGAAGGATCACGTATTTGTCTAAAAAAGAAATAATCTTGCAAGATAGTTCATTGTATATCTGTGTGTATTTGCTGTAGGTAGATCTGCCTTAAAACTGAATTAAAGTTCCATGTTCGGTTAGATATAAACAAAGCCTTTTAATGTCTTCTGTCATTTGTATTCTGTGTAAGAAAGGTTGCTTTTTAAAGGTAAAGTGTCAGTGTATTAGTCTGTTCTATTACTTCACAACTATTGGTTACAAAACCTCTTAATGCTTAGTGGCTGTGCCAGGTTTTGTGAAATCCCCCATTAAGGAGGCAGCAACTGCAGCAAAGTTAGTATAGTTTGTGTAGATGTTTTGCTTAGCAGGTCTGGAAGCAGATATGCATTTCAAATCAAGGCAGTGACATTCATGGCTTCTTGTTACAGTGTTGCATTAACTTGCATTTTCTTTCCTTCTGACTTTGGTGCTTCTTATACAAGGAGAAGGGAAGAATATTGAAATAAAACTCAAAACATCTTTAACAGTGGTTGATTACAGACTATTCTCAAGGCAAGCTGATAGTGCTAAAAGGTTAAGGATAGACATGAAATGCATTTTCTTCATGCTGAAATTTAAGCAGAAGCAATTAGAACTGTATAGGGCTTTTTCTTTATCTGTGCTTCTAAACCTTGTATGTCTCCTTAAACTCTTCCAGATTAAAGGTGTTATGAAAACAGGACGTTGGACTGAATCCAAGGTTTAGGTGGATCCAGGCTAATCAGGCTATTCAGTTCTTGTCACCAGACAACAATGTTATTTTAAAAGGCTTAGTTCAGAGTACAAAAACATACGACTTTATTTGGCTCTGTTTTGAGGGGAGGAAGGAATTGTATCCTTTTGATCTTTGCAATTGTTTTGATAGGATTTTAATGCTTAGGAGGCATTTTTGATGTAACTTGGTAAGAATACCACAGTTGCATATGCTTGACATGACTTCTGTAGAACTTAAACACAGTAGGAGGTCAAGCATGTAAACTTTGTAGCATCTTGGTCTTTACTGGCTTGATGGTTCATGCATGTGTACCTTAAAACAAAGACTTAAGGATAACTTTCAATAGGTATATCTAACTACCAGTTGTGAAGCTTTTGAGTGTTCTGGGTTTTGTTTGTGTTTTTCTACTTCTTTCAAACACAGCAAGGGTTTTAGATAAAAAAATTACTAGGGGAAGCAGATGGGCAGGAAAGGAACTCCAAATAATAAAACCATTTACCTCTGTAGAACAGCAACTTAGATGTGTACTTCTACCTTTCAGTAATTACATGAGAAGGCTGCATGCTCCTTCTTTGCCAAACCAGTTGTATTGTACTTGATACTTCCACAAAGGTGTAAGCACGCGTACCGTAGTGATTGCATTATGCATCTATAGGAATTTTGTCAGTAGCTGCATGCTGCTGGGTCTAAAGAGTGTTCAAGAAAGCTGACAGGATCAGGCAGCTCTAGAAAAGTATTGCATAAATTGCTCTGAGCTGTCCTCTTCCTAATTCCTAATTTGTTTCTCAGAATGGTCAGGGAATGAGTATCAAGGCAGAAAAAAATCGATAATCTATGTTGTTCCTGCTCAAATCATCTGCTCTGTTACGTTTACATTTTGCATTTTACAAGGACATACAGGTTATGTCTGTTGCCTAGTTAGGAAGAAAGAAAATGCAGCCACTAAACCCGCAAAGCTGATGGTCTTTTGCCAGTGTCAGAACAAACTAGCTCCAAACTGATCCCACTGGCTGTTGTGAGCGAGTGAATGAGTTGTCTTTAGCCATAGCAGCTGCTGCACTATAGGTTGGTTACCCCGATACAGAACTCTTTGGTCCTTGGATCTTAAATGTCTGAAATGGTGATGCATTAAAGCTACTGAAATGGGCAATTCAACACAATGGAGAAAAAAGCATAACCTAGAAGAAGAGCTTCTAGTCTTGTACTCAAAACGAAATAGACAGCAGAATAGAGATCTCTGACTGTTACCAAGGTTTCTGAAGCATTGTCCATTTTTACTTGCAGATTGTCCAAATATTTTTGATTCTTTTATATAAAATTCTAATTACTAGGAGTAATTTTCAGATACCCTTATTCTAACTGAATGCCTTAGTATCACAGAAGTTGCGCTTTCAAGTGTAGAGCTATTCTACTTGTATTCTTTCTAATGGTACCCTGGTAGCTCTTTGATACTTTTTTTTTGAGGAAGCGGATACAGCTGCACCACTTTTTCTCTGCATATTGTGATTATGATTTTTAAAATGGACTTCCTCTTTCTTAAAGCTACAGAAAAATCCCAAATAGAATTCTCTTAGGCTATATATGGAACTATAGGTAGAAATGGTGGGGTTTTTTAACTAACATTAGAGGACGAAGCATGCTACTCAATGTTTAGCCTGGGAGTATAGGCAGAGACTTTCCTGTTAGTCTAAAATGCTATTTAATTTTTGCAGGTGAAATCTACTAGTTAGACAATTTCAGCCTTTGAGATTTCTCATTTCTGTTAATTTTTGTAGCGCTACGTGGATGGAGGAATCAGTGACAACTTACCTCACTATGAATCTAAGAATACCATCACAGTTTCGCCTTTTGCTGGGGAGTGTGATATCTGCCCAAAGGGGAATTCTGCCAACTTTCATGAAATGAATGTGACCAACACCAGCATTCAGCTCAGTCTGGGGAACCTTTATCGTTTAACACAAGCACTCTTT